AATTATTAAAAAAATATGTATCCTTAATACTTAATTAATTAATAATAATATTTAAAAAGTTGAAGGGTTAAAACTAAAAATATTAAAAGGTTAGAATTGAAAAATAAAATAAATAAATTTTAATTATTTTATTATTTCATATAGGTGGGGGTATAGAAAGAGTAGGGTGAAAGAAGTAGCAGGGTGGCGTTAGAATACCCCAAAAGAAATTGTTATGTAGTTGGACCATTTGTTCTATCCGTTCGAGTTTTGCTTCTATAGAGAAGATGAGACGCTCAAAATGAAAGTGTTCGCAACACATACTGAATAGGTACCAATGAAGCCGACCATTAATGATTAGTTCGAAGACCAAGAGCGGTCTTATCCAAAAAGACCCTTATAGGGGTAATCCCAACTTAAGGCGGAATACCTCATCGGTAAAGTGGGAGTAAAATTCACGGTAGATTTGTGAATTTCTACCGTTCAGGTTTAAATCTTGAATAAAGAAATTTGAGGGTCCCCTCCATGATATTTCACTGAATTAAACGTACAACTTTTTAAGTCCTTCGGGCCTAACTTTCAAAAGTTTTAATAAGTCTTATTTCAACAATTATAACTTTTTTGTAAAATTTAATAGAGATTCGGGTTTTTTAAGTTATTTGGAAGAACCATCTACGAGAAGGTGAGGTCGTCTTTATTTCCAGCCGCCATACGGTTAGCCTTAAAGACGTAGAAGGGGAGGAGCAGTTATCTATGTAATTATGGTCTTTGTTGGCCGGGGTGAGCACTCTATTTTCTTTGTAAAATTCCGTCTTACCAAACAAGACTGACTTCTTACCAACCCGCAAATGGTTGTGAGGCTGGACCAGGTACGAAAAATGAATCTATATCTGTGCATGGAAGGTCCGGCGCCGCCGGATGAAAATGTCCCTTAATTAACAACACTTCGACTAACATAGTTATGGCATGAAACCACTTTTATAGTAAAATGCAAACTACATTAACCATTATCGTACTTATTGAAGTATAGACACGTTTAACAATTGTTTGTAAATCATATGGACCATTTACTCATTTATAAATTAAAGTTTTTAAACTAAATTGAAAATAGTCACGGTCACATGTCGTGCCTCCCATAATTTAAAATTAGAAGACCTGTTCTCAAGGGGTGCAACGAATTCCTAATTGGAATTAATAGGTCCTTCTTAATTGATTTTTTTTTACGTTGGGATATTTTACATCATTGAATGGATCTATTCGAGAAAATCTTGTATAAGATATAAAAATTAAGTCTATTATAAATATATTGAATTATAATATAACCCTTTTTTAATTTTTTAAAGAGAAGTGAAAGAAACATTAAAAAGACTAAAATGTTGTCCATGTATTGGAGTTTGTAAAGGTTATTAGACTAAGGGTACTTTAGTCTTTTGTAATAAGAAGTTCGTTTACAATTTTCGGATGTATGACCTTACATCTTACCATGAGCGCAATATGGCACTTGTCGGTTTGCATCATTTCTGTTTGATTGACCTTTGCGTGAATTCAGGTTAAAGGCCACGGATGGAATTGATTTACCAAGAGTTGTTATAGATCTCTGCCTTTCTTCTTATGAGACTAAAGAGAATACCTTGTTAATAGGAGGCATAGATTCCATGAGCAGAAAAACTCATTTTTCACATTTAAAATCATACGATCGATGTAATGTTTCGTTGGTGATACGATATTGTACTAAAAAAATGCTTAACACCATGTGTTATTTCGTTGGTGAAACAAAACTCATTATCAAAACAGATCAACCCAATATGTTTATTGGTGATACAACTGTAAACTCTCATTTTGAGGAGTTAATAGAATAAAGTAGTTTTTATGAGTTTGTGGGTGAATGGTTTAAAAAGAAACCAAAATGGGGTGTAGTGTTAAAACGAAAAGAAAACGGGCTTTGTTATGTCTAGACCCAAGCCCAAGCCCAAGCCCGTCTTTTATTTTCACAGGTTCTCCTTCTCGACCCCAAACAGAAATCGACTACTTTGTTAACCGAATCTACTTGATCGACTCTCCTTCAACATCATCTCGTCCATCTTCATCATTTCCCCAATTATCTCTCTTATGTTTTGAAGGTTAGAATTCAAACCAAGAGCTCCACAAGAAATATGGGTAAGTGGTTGGTTTGAAGTAGATGGTTGTTAAAACTTGTAGAAATCATAATAAATCATTCGTAGCTCCTATTTAAACGTGTAATACCTTGTTGGAACCATTAGGATGTATATTACAAGCTTTTTTGATGAGGATAATGCAACTAGGAATTCTAAGTAGACCAAAAAATAGACTTTTTAGGGCTGACCGTTTTGTTTAGACGTTAACAAATGCGATTTTTGTGAATTTTAGTTAAAATAGTTTTAGAACTGGTTGGAGTGATTCTTAATGGAGTGAAATGTATTGTTTAAGTGTGTTGGTAGAATGGATGTACTGATATAGACCATGTATGGGTTGTTTAGGTGTCAAGCCGGTTGAAATGTCATTCAAAGACTAGATTCGCCTTGATCTAGCTAAGATGAGTTCAAGTAGATTTTATTTGGTTCACATT